CCTGTACATCGTCAACAATGGCTTTGTGGAACACAGTGATGCTCCTCGTACCAGCAACCCTGTGGATTAGGAAGAGGTGACTGTCGTTCAGGTTATTAACATGGACTATTGGGCTGAGGTGGGTGCGAATAAAGCTTTGGTTTATGATCATGGACCTCCATGTCTTGCACACTGAGGTGCATTTGATAACAGATTTGACAGGTAGCCTAAGTAGGATCTCTTGTATGATTTCCTGAGGAAAAGTGCATGAGATCGCTTCAATTTTAAATTCATGCATCCCTTGTGCGATACCTTGTATGTCACCCATGTCTTGCACATTCAAATAGTTACACCAAATGAGAAAAAACAATTGATACAAAAAAAGCTATAATTATGAAAAATATATATATATCAAGAGAGCTGTTCTTAAGCAGAGTAAAATTCATATACATAAAACTAAAAACTAAAACTTAAAAAGATCCAGTAACAAGGAGCATTAAGAACCCTAAACGTCATAGTTTTCAGATGAAATGATACCCAGTCTCAACTCTATAAATGAAAAATCCAAATCCATCAACTAAAAATAAAAAATAAAAATCCACCATTATCAGGAAAAAAAAAAGAAAAAAGAAAAACCTCTAAAAAATCCCAGAAAAAGAAAAGAAAAACTTGAGGAACCTGATGAGAAAAGCCGAAGAAATGGAGCTGACGAAGCGTCTCGTTCTTGTGCTGTGTTAGAGCAGAAGAGTGAAGGAGAAGAAGAAAAGAGAAGAACCCTTTTCTAGCTTCTAGGGCATTCGTTTCCGTACATGATGGCGAGGTAAGAGAATCGCGTCGGCTCAAACCTTAATGGATCAAAGGGACCTCTCTATTTATACGCTGAGCCTGATTAAAAGCTTGAGTAAGATTTATCCACGCTTCATCCTGGGTTTACTGAGGATTTATGAATTGGAAAAAGCTTTCCCGGGAACATTTTAAAGCTGAAATTCCATTCTATCGTCATAATTCTGGAAAATTTATATTTTGACCCCTCCTTTTTGTTGTATCTTTTATATTTTGCCACCGTTGCCTTAGATTGGACCG